GATACTTATATAATGCCTGCTTTTATTCATAATGGAAAAATCAGACAGGTTAAAACATACAAGTATTTAGGAGTGATGATTGACGATATGTTATCATGGAAAGATCATATTGATGCTCTCTGTAAAAGAACAAAGCAGAGAATCTACTTTCTTCGTCGTCTTAGGTCATTCGGAGTAAGAAAGCAGATTCTTCTGCTGTTCTTTATGTCTGTGATAATGAGTGTACTGCAATACTGCAACTCCATTTGGTATAGGAGTCTGTCTGTTATGCTAAAAACAAAGCTGTTCAATCAATTAAAAATTTGCTCAAGGATTGTAGGTCAGCCCCTTGAGAAGCTCTATGATTTAGCTTACTATAATAATTTGCTAGGACTGGCTAACAAGATAGTTTCTGATCCTAATCATGTTCTGCATAATGAGTTTGAATTATTACCATCAAACCGGAGGTTTAGAGTCCCAAGATTCAATAAAGTTAGGCTGAAACATTCTTTTGTGCATCAGGCGATCCTGGAGCTGAATAAGACACTTAATCAAAAAATCAAGAGTAATGTGAACATGGTGTAGTTGTAGAAGTGTAGTAGGAGGGTAAGGTATAATGTAATGTTAAAGGGAGGGTAATGTATATTGTGTTTTGTTTGTGTGTGGATGAAGTGCATGTTGTTGTTTAAAGGATGTTGATTGTTGTAAACACAGATACTGTCATGCAAGAAAAATTTCAGACTCGTCTGACAATAAAGTGTTATAAAGTAAAAAGTAAAGTAAAGTATATATTGCTGTTTAAGTTGAGCTGTATAACTCTAAATCACTAAATAGAAGCTAAATTGCAGTCTTTGTGATTTGAAATTCACACTAAGCCATTTGGTTTTATTTCTATTAATTGTGCAACCCTAATGTTATGCGTCATGTTTCTTAAGAAATCAACATTTCAAAACGTTCTGCCAAGTACAAAAAGATCATTTATTGAATCCAGGCTGTAAAAATTAATCATTGAACGTCCACACTTTTTTAACGTAAGATGAATACATCTTGCTAGGCCAGTCATGGTTGGGTAATCAGTGGAAAGCTGGATAAATCCTATTATTGGTAAACACCAGAGAAAATAACAGTTAAATGTGTGAAAGTGCATCAAACTCAGCAGTTTCTGGCTGTGTGGTGCTTGCTGCTCTCCATATCCTTTAGAAAGGTCCCAGTGTTAGGAAAGAACAGCTTATTTGTGTCCAATTTTTTAGAAAGTTAATGCACACATTTCAGCGCAGATTGTTTCGTGGATGTCACAATGTAATGCAGACTTTGTAAAAAGGCTGCTATTAAAGGATGGCACACTTAAAAACTATATTGGACTTGACAGCAAAACCACAGTCTTAGCAGATCAAAGCATTGTTGTTCACTTGACATGTAAAGGGGATGTTTCTTGAAGGCACAGCACACTGATTCTTTACAGTGTGAGTCTTTACCCCAAAACTACCTGTAGCTCAATGCTTCATGTACATTAAAATGTATGCTTAAAAACAGAAATATAAATATATTTATAAAAAAATCTTTATTAAAGAAACATGCCATGACTCGTAGTACTGTTGTACTGTTTAAAAGAAAGGTTTCTGAATGATGCTGCTAATAATCTGTGTGTATTTGTGTTACATTGTGTTTTCTTGACTGGAATTGAAGAATAGTGAAATCAGTTGCATTCAGTATGTAGAGAGAGAGAAGAGATATGTGGTGTATCAGAGAGAAGAGCCAGGGAGAGAGGGCTGGTGTGGAGGAGGGGAGAGTGTGTGTGTGTGTGTGTGTGTCTGTAATTAATCATAAAGGTAAAACAGCTATTATAAATCACTCTCAGCTTTAGACTGCTAATGAGATAAGACTATATATAGATCTCTCTTTTTTCTCTTAGTTTCTCTCCAGTAGGTGCTGCTGTAGGTCAGTTGTATCTGTTATGTTTTTTTCTTCAGTATTTCCTTATTCTGATATACATATTCACTTTGTCAGTTTCACCGAGTATGGAGCTGATAGATGGACATATGGACAGACTGATAAACTGATGGATGGATAGGTAGGTGGACAGACAGACAGACAGACAAGTAGGTGGGTATATAGACGAGTAGATGGATAGATAGATGGTACATGAAAAAACATGTACCATGTTTTAGACGGACGGACGGACAGATAGACAGTACATGAAAAGACAGGTGGATGGATGGATGGTGTGATATAGTATTTATTTACAGATAGACAGGTAAATAGATGTTAGATGGATGGTAGATAGATAGACGAGTAGACAGATGGGCAGATAGGTTGATAGGTAGATAGACAAGTAGATAGACACGAAAAGACAGGTGGAAGGATGGATGGATAAATAGTTTGATATAGACTCTAGATAGATAGATAGATAGATAGATAGTTCATGAAAAGACGGATGGATGGATGGATGGATAGTGTGATATAGACTCAGACAGATAGATGTTAGATGGTAGGTAGATAGATAGATAGATAGATAGATAGATAGACGAGTAGACAGATGGGCAGATAGGTTCACAGGTTGATAGGTAGATAGACAGACAGACAGAAAGACAGGTAGATAGATGGTACATGGTACATGAAAAGACAGGTGGAAGGATGGATGGATAAATAGTTTGATATAGACTCTAGATAGATATATAGATAGATAGATAGTTCATGAAAAGACGGATGGATGGATGGATGGATGGATGGATAGTGTGATATAGACTCAGACAGATAGATGTTAGATGGTAGGTAGATAGATAGATAGATAGATAGATAGATAGATAGATAGATAGATAGATAGATAGATAGATAGATAGATAGATAGATAGATAGATAGATAGATAGATAGATAGATAGATAGATAGATAGATAGATAGATAGATAGATAGATAGATAGATAGATAGATAGATAGATAGATAGATAGATAGATAGATAGATAGATAGATAGATAGATAGATAGATAGATAGATAGATAGACGAGTAGACAGATGGGCAGATAGGTTCACAGGTTGATAGGTAGATAGACAGACAGACAGAAAGACAGGTAGATAGATGGTACATGGTACATGAAAAGACAGGTGGAAGGATGGATGGATAAATAGTTTGATATAGACTCTAGATAGATATATAGATAGATAGATAGTTCATGAAAAGACGGATGGATGGATGGATGGATGGATGGATAGTGTGATATAGACTCAGACAGATAGATGTTAGATGGTAGGTAGATAGATAGATAGATAGATAGATAGATAGACGAGTAGACAGATGGGCAGATAGGTTCACAGGTTGATAGGTAGATAGACAGACAGACAGAAAGACAGGTAGATAGATGGTACATGGTACATGAAAAGACAGGTGGAAGGATGGATGGATAAATAGTTTGATATAGACTCATAGATAGATAGATAGATAGATAGTACATGAAAAGATGGATGGATAGTGTGATAGACGGGTAGATCAGTGTTCGAACTATACCGTGGACTTTGGGGGAGCCCACTTGTTTTTTTTTATTTTATATATAACGGGGGAGGGGGTTCTTCGTGCGCTTGCGCGTGCCTCAAAAGAGGGCTTACAATGATACAAAGATACGTAACAGCTACAAGTGTATGCACTACTTGCTTTATGCAAGCGCTATATAGGATAAATCACTATACAGGATTACCCTATTATACTTTATCGACACGAATTGATAGGTGAAACAACAAACAGCCACCCACAAATAGTCTATAAACAAAGCATCAGGCTGTCTTTGAGTTCACATGAACAACGGTTAAAGTTACACATTGTCAGGCTACAGAAGAATACCATAATTCCTCCGTTTAATTAGGCCTAAGACATCGAGAGTCACGCAGACCTATAACAACCCAGCCACAACACATAATTGCGAATAACATGCCTTACCTTAACACAGAATCGACCAAAGAGTCCAACGTTTATATTTTTTCTACGAATCTTTGAGTTAACATGTACTAAACATGAGTGGAATTTGCACGGCAGCTCCCCCACACCTTGATGCTCATGACAAGAATAGCATGTATAGTTATTTTTATTGAAATGAATTAGGTTTAAATCGCCGTCATGCATGAATGAATGATATTTTTGCAATTTTACACATAATAATCCACAATGATCACATTACACAAAACTGAAATTGCACGTCAAAATAACACAGTCAATATTTTTTGAGACCCCCCCCCAAATTTCACAAATCACGCTTTCAGGGGAGCCCATGTCTTTTTAAGGGGAGCCGAGCTCCCCCTAGCTCCCCCGTAGTTCACACCCTGGGGTAGATAGATGGGCAGAGGTTGATGGGTGGATAGACAAGTAAATAGACGGTACATGAAAAGAGTAGATGGGTAGATGCAGAGACAGGTAGATAGAAGTAGATAGACGTTACATGAATTGACAGATAGACGGGTGGATGGGCAGATAGATGGATAGATATGTAGGTAGGGAGACAGAGGCAATTTTTTCTGTAATTCTCACCCTCTTCTTCCAGAGGCCGGTCTGTTTATCTTTCACCAGTTAATAATGGAAAATGGTGACAGACTAAACTTTCCTCCGTTGCATCTTTCCCCATTTCTTGTCATGCATAGCAACACCTCAGCAAATTGAAGTGAGGCTCACCTAAATAAGAGCAGAAGTAACGCTCGAACATAAACTAATAATTGACTGAATTAGGACGAGGTCTTTATCCTGTGAATGTGTATTTGTCCCATCGGGCTTTGCTAATGTGCAGCTTCAGTGAGGGAGACGATGTGCGTTCAGTAGAAACAGACTGTTCAGGCTCTGCTTTCTTGCGCTATTAGTCATTTCAGTTTAGGAGAATCCCAGAAAAATACTTGGTTACTCAGTCACCGTGGAAAACAATTGCTGGTCGCCGAGAGAAAGGTTTGGATCAGATCCGAGCAGGACAATGGCTTGGCAACCGTCTCTGATCATTCCAAGCATGTTGGATTTTGTCAGAAGGCCAGCGGTGTCGTTCTGATACAGTTATGCTGTCAAACACACACAATCTTTTGTCATATTAGACAGCTGTTATATAAAACGCGATGGTTATGTCTGCCGTAGAGGGTGTAATGTGTATCACAGCTATTTTCTCCACTTCCTTCCATTGTTTTTTTTCCACTGTGTTACACTTTTGAAAACTCTTGGTCACGGAGGAAAAGAGTGATTGACCAACTGCCCTGGATAGAGAGGGATGGAGAGACTTATAAACCACAGGGGTAATAGAGAAACAACTCAGGGAAAAACAAAACAACACATTGAGAAAGGAGAAAAATGTTTTTTTCCTCAGCTTTTTCTGTGACTTTTTGACACTTTTTTGTGTTTCGTTTATTTTCTGTGCTTTTTGGTTTTTCATTGTGTTTTTTCCTTTTCGTTTTTTTTTCTTTTTTCACTCTTATACTTTTCTTTCTTTTCTTTTTAGTTTTATATTTAATTATTTCTTTCTTTCTTTGCTTTTCTTTTTTTTTTTTACATTTTCTCTTTCATAGTATTCTTTTTTTCCCCTTTCATGTCATCTTTTTTCTTTTTCTTATCCTTTTTTTGTTGTAGTTTGGATATTTTGTCTTTTGTCTTTGTTTTTTTCTTTTTTTCTTTAGTTTTTCTTTTTCTTTAAATTCTTTTCTTTCTCTATTTCTTTCATTTTTCCCCTTTTTGTTCACAGTCACCACTCCCTTGAGCTGAATAATGCATGTAAACTGTCTCAGGCCCAGTTTTGTGTTTGCATCTAGAGTTTTGTGTGTGTATCATTTTTCTTTTTTAATTACAGATTGTATGACAGTATTAGGTACAAAATAGTTGCATTAGATGAAAACTACTTTCAAAGTCTTACAGAGTGTGTATGCAAGTGCATGTTAGTGTTGTCATGGCAGCAGAACACGGACCTGTTGTCTACTGAAACTTTAATGTGTGTGTGTGTGTGTGTGTGTGTGTGTGTCAGTGGTAGCGTGGTGCTACTCAAATAATCAGGTGACACAGTAGTGAGCATGAGCTCTTGTGTACCTCTCACCTGATCCATGGTGTATCAGGTGAAACATCTCGGGTACAAACGGAGAATGAATTCCTTCAAACTGTTTAGAAAAAGAAGAACTTCAGATCTCCCTGCAGAAAGCTTCAACCATGTCCTTTCATTTCATGTATACATTGTGATTCTTAATTTCTTTTGTTATTTATTGATGTTACATTGTTCTTTTAATGTCAAATGTCATATTTCTTGAAGGTTTTTGTTGAGTGCAATGCATTGTGGGTTAAGCGGTTTTCTTCTTGTTGCAGGATGAGGAGGAGAATGGGAGGATTGAGCCAGTGGGACGTGCGGATACATGTTTAGATCACATGGGAGTGAGATCGCTGGAGTAAGTACCACACACATACACACACACACACACTCTGACTGACAGCAGCGGTGATGTTATCTCTTATTTTATGCGAATCTCTCCTTCATGCTGTCAGTTTGATTTGCAGGTAATGAAACGTTTTGGCTCTTTGAGATTTATTTGTAAAATATGACTTTTTTTCTTAACGCTGAGATCAGATTGAAATGTTTTGGATTAATCTCTCATAAACTGTCATCTAAACTCTCGCTCGAGTCTCTCACAGTTCTGTCTGTCACTTTCTAGATGTGATGGCATTGATGCCAAAATGAGTGTTTTGGTGTGAATCTTTGATAAACATGACTAAAATGCAAAATACATTTAAGAGACTTTATAACTTTTTAGTCTTTATCGATGCATGACCAACAAATACAATGTCTATCTAGATGCAAAAGTGCAGTTTGTGTGACAGCTGAATCACAGCATTCTGACTCTTTGCACGTTCTCACTCCGCCCTATGCATTCTGGCTCCGCCCTACTTTGTTTTACTCCGCCTCCATTCATCTTTACATGGAACAGCATGCTTATTTACTCTCTCTGATGGATTGTTTTCTTTTTTTCCCCACGGTCCTCCAGTGATATCGTGAAATTGGTGGAAGTGTCCAATGACGGAGGTCCTCTTGGTATCCATGTGGTGCCTTTCAGTGGACGAGACCGCAGGTAACAACCACCAAACTCCATTATCATATCAATAAAAGGACCAAAAGTAAAAGAAACTCAACCACTGAACATAGACCATGCTCATGATCACCAGTGCTAAAAAAACAACACCACCACACATTTATAATAGCTAACATTTTTTGTGAATGTTTAGCTCTAATGTTCTTGAATAGTATATTAATACATTTTAAATTAATTTTATTATAATTTTTTGGTTCCTGGCATATTCTGAACCCAGCAAGAGCTCTGTTTAGTTTACTTGAAAGTCTTTCCTCTGCATCACCTGATGTTCTGAGTGACCATTGTTTGATTTGAGATGACTAAATGTTTGTGTGACTCCTCTGCAGAGAGTGGTGCCAGAATCGATGTAATACAGCCTCAAATTAGAAATTTTATCGCATACCTGCTGCCACTGCCAGACAAAAAAACGACGACAGCTGTGGTTAAACGCGATAAAACGAGCAGACTGGACCGAAACGATCGTCAAAAATGCTTGCGTTTGCAGCACACACTTCTTATCAGAAAAGGTTCAGTAAAGTATTGTCTTTTGTTGTTATGGTTAAGATTTCTTATGCATCTCACAACTATGTCATCTATGAAATAATGTCTGTGTGAATGTGTGTAAAAACAACAAACTGACGATTTATATATAAGCATTTGTAATTGTATATACATTGTTGTGATTAATTGGGGCTGGAACAATAATGTAGCTGTAAAAATAGTTGCCTGCTGAAATTGAAATATATATATATATATATATATATATATATCTTCATGACTAGATAGACACGGTGAGTTTGTCTTTACTATACAGGTTAGATGTGAGTCACTTAACCGGAGGGAATCCTGTCTGATCGTCCAAGCTTTGAGTGAGCGTGCACGGGTCGGCCGATCTGATTTCATCTGTTAAAGTTAACCTTTTCAAATAACAGTCGCGGTCCCGGACAGTGAGTGACCTTACATATAAAACAAGCTAACAAACTTCGTAGCTAGCGTTAGTGAAGCGGTCAGGGGAATCTTTCTGCCTCCACCTAAGCTCCGCCCACAGAAAAACATCACAGTGTTTACTAACAGAAAAAGAGTCTATACACTTCAAAGTATTAATACGATGATCTGTCGATTAATTTACTGTATTTTCTGCAATCTGTCAGCTCAGTCGCTCCGATCAGCTCTCTTCTCAGCTGGACGTCTCTTGTCTCTCACCTCCTCCCCCATTAACCACTCACATTTTCTATTTTCCCGGGAGGGAGGGTCTTAACACATACAAACCAATGAAAATAAAGATCAACCTAACTCGTAGGGCAAAAGCCTGTGCTTTTTTTCACCTGTGCACCCCAATCAACCTTACTTCCAATAATGGCATTCTTAAAGACACAAGCACACATATTTTGTAACTAAGAATATGAAGCGTTAGGCTTCAGATCTGAATGAAACTAAGTTACACAAACAGTAAATTAAACAACATAACCCACTACATTCTAGAATTATATTCTAGTGGGTTACACATTTTTTTATATAATTAATTGTACTAAATTAACTTGTAAAAGCTCTTTTAACAAATACAATATAATGAACAAATGAATGAATAAAAAAAATCGATATTATTTTATTGTAATATTTTATTGCAGGTTAGTTTTCCTTTTCTTAATAAATCAATTACAGTGGTGTGAAAAAGTGTTGGCCCCCTTCCTGTTAAATTAGTTTGATGATCTGAAACATTAAAGTGTGACAAATATGCAAAAAAATAAGAAATCAGTTTACTGTCACTTTTTCACACCACTGTATGTTTGTTTGTTGTTTTTATTGAAATTATTTAATGTGCAATGTGGCTATGTTGAAATATGGTTTATGCCCTGTTTATGATTAAGGCTGTGCTAATGAATCCAGATGTCTATTGCTGAGCATATTTCCCATTCTGCAGAGTCTGCTGTACTGATTCAGCTGGGAGAATGTCGCTCTGTTATCTGCCAACAGCTCCTTCCTGTTTGCGTGTGTGTGTGTGTGTGTGTGTGTGTGTGTGTGTGTGTGTGTGTCCCTGCTGTAAAGGTGTGGGATGTGAAAAGATTGACAACAGTTGGCACAAGTCTTGGCACCTGTGTGTGGACAGGTGGCCCAGTGGGTGCATAGGGTGGCGGTGAGGTTACGGAACAGCGGTGCAGGGAGTGTTGCTAGGCAGCACCGCATGTCAGTGTGATGTGTTTCCATATGGCTGTCTGATTCTCTCAGTGTTTTATTGGACCCGAGTCGCACATACACACATATTGGAAAACTCGCAGTGTTCTTTTTGAAAAGTGTGACTGAACTCAACCTGTGGGGCCACTTTCTCTTTCTCACTCTCGGTCTCTCTCTCTCACGCTCAGATGCACTTATTTCAGCCTTCTCACACAGTCTCCAATTTCTGCACCTCGGAAGGTTTAAGCCCATTCTGTTGGGTCGACAGGTCATGATTTTGTGTTGCCTTTCAGACCCCATGTAGTCCAGGTGGCTTCTGTTCCAGTCCTGTAGTCTCCATCAACAAGCTGTAGCCTGATGTTTCTCTAAGCCGCAAGCTTCTGATATTACTCACGTGCAGACAGAGAGAAATTCGACACAGAAAGCAGACTCAAAAATGTGTGGGATAAAAACTAGAGAGCTAAATGAATGCATTTAAACTAAAGTCCTTTCAAATGTACGCTAATTTTAAGTATGGAACTGACGCTGAAATATTATGTAGTAGAACACTACAGATCATTACAGACTGACAGTGGAAATTAAAAATATATATAATATAATAAAAAAAATTAAATAATAATTTTAAAATACTCTTCCAAAAATGGTGAGGTGATACATTAATAAAATCATAAATTTGTTTTCTAAACATAATATTTTTAATAATGTAATATTTCAATAATATAATGTTTTTAAAAGTTTATTTTGCATTTTTGGTAACGCTTTACAGTAAGGTGTCATTTGTTAACATTAATTAATGTATTAGCTAACACAAACAAACAATGAACAATACATTTATTACAATATTTATTAGTCTTTGTCAACGTTAGTTAATAAAAATACATTAGATCATTGATAGTTCATGTTAGTTCACAGTGCATTAACTAATGTTAACAAACACAACTTGATTTTAATAATGCATTAATAAATGTTGAAATTAATATTAACTACTAATGTTAACAAACACAACTTTTGATTTTAATAATGCATTAATAAATGCTGAAATTAATATTAACTAAGATTAATAAATGCTGTAGAAATATTGTTCATTCTTAATTCATGTTAACAAAAGTAGTTATGTTAACTTTCTCACTCTTTGTCAACCACTTTACAAATTAAGGAATTTAATTGTTAGAATCTTTTTTCGAGATCAGTTTATTTATTTATTTTAAAATGTAATTTTTAAATTAATGAATTTATTTTTGAATTAATTCATTTGTAATTAATTTAGCTACATCTTTTGTTTTATATTATGCCCCCCCCCCGCCCCCCATCATTTGGCTTTACCAGTTATTGTCATCATACCAGCAGACATGTGTTATGCAGCATCTGATCTATGAATTGCCATTTAACAGGGTTTTCATCGCATTTTGAAATGGATAGGTGTATATATCCTTAGGTCTGTCTTTTAACTGTGTGTTCTCTGTGTCTGTCAGGGCCTGAAGGTCTCGGGTTCAGCATCACGTCAAGAGATGTCCCTCTTGGAGGCTCCGCCCCTATTTACGTGAAGAACATTCTGCCAAGAGGAGCTGCCATACAGGACGGGAGACTGAAAGCAGGGGATAGATTGCTAGAGGTGAAAAGCAAATAAATACATTTTTATTTTATTTTTAACGATGAAATGATTATAAATGAATAAAATCTAAATATAGTCATGATTTTGTGGTTGCTACAGGTCAATGGGGTGGATCTTAATGGGCGTGATCAGGAGGAGGTGGTTTCTCTGCTGAGGGCGACGCCCATGGGCGGAACTGTGACTCTTCTGGTACTGAGACAGGAGGAGGCCTTTCTACCCAGAGAGATGGTGAGGAACTGTCTGTGTCTGTGTGTGTGTTTGAGTGACAGTTACGAGAGTGTTGAGGTGTGAAATCCTCCTGCTAATGTCTTCATAAAACTGTCCATCACTATATCGCACACAGAGGCGGACAGTAACTAAGTACATTTACTTGAGTATTGTACTTAAGTACACTTTTTGAGTATCTGTACTTTACTTGAGTATTATTTTTTTCTGGGAACTTATGACTTTAACTTTACTACATTTGAAAGACAAATATTGTACTTTTCACTCCACTACATTTCTATCAAGGTCCTCGAAGTAGAAAGTCGTTATATGTGGCAGCTTCATTCTAAAAGCTCTCTATTCCAAAGATACTACAAGCTAGTAGGTGTAATGTATTCTAGGTTGCATCGGCAGTATTGCAAGTATTACGTACAACAATAAAACATGCATGTACAATAAACAATAAAACGTGCATTGACATAAAAAAGGAAATGTACTTTTGGTACTTAAGTACTTTTAAAAGCAAGTACTTCTGTACTTTTACTTAAGTAAAAATCTGTCTTTACAACTTTTACTTGTAATGGAGTAATATTTGACCAGCAGTATCTGTACTTTCACTCAAGTAATAGAGTTGAGTACTTTGTCCGCCTCTGATCGCACAGCATCTCTGACATTTAGAGTCTCACCACGCTTGTTTGACTAGTGGTGTGTTTGAGTCAAGGTTAAGTTGCAATTTCAAAGTTTCCATTTGCATTTCAATGAGAGCTCTATAAAGAGGACTATTTCTGTTTGATTATTTTATTTCGGTTAGCTTTTTAAACCATTTTCATTTTAGCTTTCTTCATTTTACTAGTGTTTTAAAAACATCAGTTTTACCTCATTTCGAAAAGGGTCAATTCAAGTAAAATTGGGACACATTTCACATTCATATCAAAGGCAAAAATCCAATTGAACTGAATTCACCCTCTATGATATTAACCCCAGGTGGAGTGATTTTAAGATCCATCTTTGGTTGCACTGTGTGCATGTTTGTTTGTAGAATTAAGGGATTATTAGTTGCAGTATTACCATAGTCCTCTCCTTCCTCACTCTCTTTAGAACACAGAACCAGCAATGCAGAACACAAGAGAATGGGTAAGAACTGCACACACATCTTGACACCCGCTCATACTTCTCTACATCTGTACATGTGAAGAACTGCTAACAGAGAGGTTCAGTGCAATTGTTGTCAGTAAAGAATGTGCATGTGTCTCTGATGTTCTGTAATGATCCTGATCCAGCACTAACAGTTTCTTAAAGGGATAGTTTACCCAAAAATTAAAATTCATGTACTCACCCTCATGCTGTTCCATAAGTGTATGACTTTCTTTCTTCTGCAAAACCCAAAATCACAACCGTAACCAGGGTTTGAAAATGAGTGAAGTGTGGAATTGTGCTATTATAACACCTACAAATACAACTCATACACTAAAAACTTTAAAAGAGACAGACTTTTAGATCTTTGTGAAAGATGTTTTCTCTGTTTTGGGGGGATGGGCATTGTTAAATTAGACCTTATTTATTGCATCACAATTTGTTAATATTTTACTATAGGTTAGGGGTGGATCATTTTATAATTTGTTTATTATTCATGCAATAATACTTATTACTGTTACAGTATTCATTGATAACCATTGCTATATAGATGATAACTTTGTCTAGGTCTCTTATGAATGCTTTAGCATGACTTTGTAAAAGTTAAACTTCTATACTGGATGAAATGGCATAGACTTCTTCATGGCCAGTGTTTGCATATTTCGTTTCATTATGTAACCTACTTGTTCTACAGATCTGTGTACTAGTGTTAAATGCTTCTGTTTTTGATAGCATTGATTAATATTTTAGATAAAATCATAATTTTTTTTTTGCCTTACCGAATGTGGAATCCTGTCAGCAATAACCTGTCTGTGGGATTTTTTTATTTACTGTCAGTTTTGTGCAGGCGATGCAGTGTTGCCAGATATTGCTCTGAAAACAAACAAATAAATAAAAATCAACCAAATTTTGTTCAAAACTTTTGAAAATAAGATAAGGTAAAGATAACTCTAAACTGTACCTTCCCACTTTATTAACTTTTTAAAGTGTCAAATTAAGAGGAAAAGACAAGGCCAAAAAAACGCTTATAATAGCAGGAATAGCCCACGACCTCTCTCACAACTACTCTAGCAGTGTCTCACAGCAATATAGTTCTCTATCATTTTCACACCATGAACACTACAAATTCTAGCATGCTGTCTAAATTGCATTAGCTATACATGCAGACACCCATATAAGGAGTGTTAAATTACTAATTCAGAAAACAGATGTTATTTTTGAACATGAACAATTTGCTGAGGCCCGGACCTCGGTGACCTCATAGCTGGCTAAGGCCATGAATACAATGAAAATCAATAGGGCCCGGTGATGTTTTTGTTCCCACTGACTTTGATTGCATGGGCAAAAACATTTTAAAATGATTTTGTGTTCTGGAAGAATACAGTCATACAGGTTTGAGATGATGTGGGTGAGTAAATTACTTCATTTTAAGTAATTTATGGATGATTATAAGCCTTTAATTAATCTGCCTTACTCTCTCTGTATCTCAATCTGTATCTTTCTGCTGTATTAATAGACTATGTTGCTGTGATTTTCTCAGTAAATGAGTCATTTTTTTAAACATACTCCTCTGGTTGTGATTATTAAATCTAATCACAGTTATTTGATTTAAATGTGACTTGCACACCTTGAATTCGAACATTTGGTCTGTATAGAGCTGCAGCTGTTACGCTTCAGAAACACTGTCAGTGTGAAAGCTCATCCTGTTTCTCTCTTCTTTTTGTCTGTTTTCCTCTTTCTGTCTCTCCCGCCGCTGTTTGTGCATTAACCTCGCAAGGCTGATAAGATCTGCTTTAACAGTGGCGATCCAGAGAGCAGGAGAGAACTAAATGAAAGCCATCCATTTCCTTCTGTGTACTGAGTGTGTGTGTGTGTGTGTGTCGGAGGTTGTTACATTAAAGTGAAGGTGATTAAAGCTCAATAAAGATAGGCTATATAGAGCAGTCACTCAGTAGATGGTTGTTAAAGCTGTCTCATCTCTCTCTCTCCCACACAAACACTCACGCACTGACAGCCGCTAACATGAGAGAGTCACTGGAGAGGTCAGAAGAGCATCAGACGTAATGGGTTTATTATCTGTGTGTCTGAATCAGAGAGCAGAGGTTTGGCGGGCATCATTTCTCATGAAAGCTGCCCTCCTCGCCTCATTTACATGTGCTGCATTTCCTTCAGAAGCAGGTGAAAATGGCAGCTGTGTGTGTCAGGGACATAGTAATGAACAGGAGAGTGACTTGAATGTAAAACCGCTAGTGCAGAGGTTCATAGTGTTTAAAGTCTATTGCACACTGTGAGATACAAATGAGCTATCCTGTCATGTTTTCAAGGGACAATTCTGTCATCATTTATTCACCCTCATGTCATTCCAAACCTGTGTGACTTTATTTCTTTTGTGGAACACTAAAAGAACATTTTAAAGAATTACACTAGTGACTCTTTTCAATTCCACGGAGAAAAGAAAGTCATATGGGTTTGGAACGACATGAGGGTGAGGAAATGTCTTTGTATAGTCTCTGAACAACTGATTTGTAGTGTGCGTTCAGTCTCTGAGAGGTCACAAACCATGATAGTGTCTTAACATGAAGATATTTTTTTTCCTAATGAACCTGTTTCTCCAGGCTTTCCTTGTTCCCCCGTTTCCTGTCTTAATCATTATTTTGATCAAGTAAATGAAACAGCCATTTGACAACCAAGTCTTATTTCTTTCTATGCAGTCGATAATTACAGTCTTTGTCTCTGTCTGTTTCTGTAGAAGGTAGAAGACGAGGAGTTGGTCTTAACCCCAGACGGGACGCGTGAGTTCCTGACGCTGGAAGTGCCTCTGAGTGACTCTGGCTCGGCAGGATTAGGAGTCAGTGTCAAGGGTAACAGGTCAAAGGAGAGCCACGCTGACCTGGGCATCTTCGTCAAGTCTATCATTAACGGAGGAGCAGCATGCAAGGTTCGAAATGTATACACATAAACATTTTTTAGGAGATCCACCTGAAATCTGCAGACTTTTCTCATGATTATGGCACAAATTGGGTGGGGGGGGGGGTTTAAATATATTATGCTTTATATATTTTGATAATATTAATATTTTTATATTTTTTCCATCATGAAAATATTAATATAAATTCGCAACCATTCATAAGTTTGAGTTTTTTTATGCCTCACCAAGGCTATGTTTATTTGATCAAAAATGCAGTAAAATATTGTGAAATATATAGAATATTAGAATTAAACTTTTTTTATATATATTTGAAAAGATAATTTATTCCTGTGATGCAAAACTGAATTTTCATCAGCCATTACTCCAGTCTTAAGTGTCACATAATTTTTTCAGAAATCATTCTAATATGCAGATTTAGGGCTCAACAAACATTTCTTAAATTTATTGATGTTGAAAACCATTGTGCTGCCTAATATTCTTGTGGAAACGGCAATAATTTAATTTCATAATTAATTTGGATTAAGACATTTCAAAGGAACAGCATTTATTTAAAAAAGAAACCTTATAAATGTCTTCACTGTCACTTTTGATCAATTTAATGCACACTTGCTGTATAAAAGTATTCATTTCTTTTAAAATATCTTACCCCGGTATTCTTTGTAATTGATTAATGTTTATAACATTATTATAGAAATGATTGACCAGTTAGCAGTCGTTGTCTTATAGTCTTGTTATGAGTTGCACAGTGTACATATTAAATGTCTTGAATGGTGTATGAATGGTCTTCATAATCTCATTCTCTGGTGTAGGACGGAAGGCTGCGAGTCAATGATCAGCTAATCGCAGTCAATGGGGAGTCGTTGTTAGGGAAGACAAACCAGGATGCCATGGAAATGCTGCGCAAGTCCATGTCAACGGAGGGCAACAAGCGAGGGATGATTCAGCTGATTGTGGCAAGACGAATCACCAAACGCCTTGAGGTAAAGAGAGAAGAGTCAAGCAGATGAGAGTCTGCACAATTGGTGGCTGACTAAATACTTTTTTTCCCCACTGTATTAGTTATGTAGAGGAAATTAAATGGCCATTCCATTAAAAACATCTTAAGAAAATTTTATTAGGAATAAACTTGCTACATCTCAACTCTGTCATTATTGGTCATATTTTGTCACGACACATTTTATTTCCTCTAGTCTTGCTTTGAATTTAAAAACAGAGAAAAAAAGCATACCTACTTCAGCACACATTAAGGTCGACCACGTGCTGTTTTCTTTCTTTCTCTCTCTAGAGAACGTCTGATCCGTTTAAAGACCAGGCAATCAGGTCACTGCATTTCGCAAATTTATCCACAAGGGCTTTCAAGAAGTATTTTCTGTAATTCTGAAGGGAAAACTATGATGGACTCATGCAATTTTGTGTCGCAGGGCTATTAAAGTTTGGCCGATAATTATGGGAATTGTCTTAGCCAGAGCAGGATCATAACTGCTCAAGATTTTCCCATCATGCTGAGTGTTCAGTGTCTGCATCTGAACGAGACAGAGCCCACCAGAGCTGATTCTGACCACTTGTTCACCATGACATAAATAAACAAAATTTAAATGGTAGCCAGTTAAATCTCTCAGAAGTGAAATTCAGAGGTTGTGTGATTCGAATTATGATGTTCTTCTTGTTGTTCTGGTTTCTGTCAGGGTGAGAGCCGATGCAGTCCTCGAGGGTTAGTGAGGACCCTGAGCCCGTCTCCTGATGACCACGAGCGGCGGATCTCACACTCGCTATATGGAATTGAAGGGCTTGATGACAACCTGAGGCCACAAGTCAACACAAATAATCGTAAAATGAGTGCGTTACAACACCAACACACTTAATGATCTAACCCCCGATTTCACAGTCAAGGCTTAAACCTAGTCCTAGACTAAAATGTAAGTCTGAGCTGTTTCAACTGAAAGAAACTTGCATTGACTGATCTTAAAAGATATCAGTGCCTTTGTTTTGTCTCAAGATGCACACCAGTAATGTTTTTTTGTAAGCACGTTTATGAAAATTGCTTAAATGTCTTAATTGAACTATGATCTAATCCTGGCTTAGTCTAAGCCCCGTCTGTGAAACTGGGCCTAAATGTGTCATTTCTGTGCTAGCCTGACCTGGTTTGCTTTTTTTTTTAGTCAGTTTAAGCTGGTCCTTTCAAAAGCCATGTAAAATGTATTTTTATATTTTTTTTATGTTTTTCTTTTTAAAAGATCAATCATATATGTAACTACATTTAGAGAAAAGCTTAAACGTTTAAATATATATGTAAATATGTATCTTATTTTTTAATCAAATGCTTAATAATTTAATATTAGTGTTTTTAGCATCTTTTATATATTTTTATTTCACTATATATGATAAAGTAATAAATTAAATTAAATGAATTAATGTTTTTTTATCATGTTGACAGACAGACAGATGATAGAAAATGAATGTAGAATTTCATTAAAATAAAACGTGTAGATATCTATATCTATCTATGTATCTCCTTCAGATCAGCAAAAACATTGGGTTTGGGAATTTTTTTCAAGAAAGTAATTATTTGCATTATTTTGCAAGTTAACCATCACCAGATGCTCTCTGCAATCACGTTTGAACGCAGCATCAGGTTTCAGAAGTAGAATTGGCATCTCTGGGCTGCAGTGTGTAAGAAACATGTGGTCTAACACAAAACATATGAGTGTTACCCTGGACAAACAGACGCAGAGCTGTGGAGGTTCACTGAGAGCTCTCTGTGTGAGAAAGAGAGCCCAGCCGGAGCTGTTATCCTGCCTGTCAACAACTGAATCCACTCATGGGAAATGACAATAGCAGGGTGCCACACACACAAGTGCATATGCTTTTGCATTTACTCAATATATGTGCAGAGTCATGTTCATACCATACCATCCATTTACGCTCACACAGACAGGCTTTCACTTGCTGACTCTCCACAAGCACTCCTGCAGAAAGATCAGAATGTGACTGTGTCCATCCATTTAAAGACCTGTTTTCAAACCTTCCTCAGCAAATGTGTTAGTAATGGGGTAATGTTGTTGTTTGTGTGCTGATTGGATTTGGATCTGCTTGGGTGAGGTTCTCTATGAACATACAGCAGGTTAATGTCTCATCTTCAAATTATGAAGATGAGACATAACGTCTTTGAATTGCTTTTTTAATTAATTAGCGTATTAGATATTTATGTGGTGGAGAGAACTGGAATGCTTTAGTTGCCTTCCGGAAGTAAAAATCCCATTCATTTTTGCCATTGCTAGATTGATTTTTTTTTTTGTGTGATAACTTACTTATAAACCCTAAAAAGACAGAGGTACTGTGAACTATGAGGTTGTAAATCAATGGCTATCAGCCCACGTTATTTCAACTCAATTTTTTTAAACAAACATGTTTAACAATGGAATTCCTAATGCAGGGTGTCCGCGGGTCCTTAAAAAGTCTTCAATAACGTTTTCCAAATATAAGGCCTTAAAAAGTCTTAAATTCGGATTTGATGGGTCTTAATTATTTTTGGTCTCATTACCGCTAAAATATCTTCAGTCTGACGGAGCTAATGACTTTCATTTCACATTTAAAGTATTTTCATTTTTTTAATTATTTCAAATATCAGTATTCAATGTTTTATGTTTTTATTTGTATATTCATAAATGCATTTAAAACATTAATCTCATAACATTATTTATTGCAGTTGTAATTATTGTTATTTGCAGTGTAAATTATTTAATCTGACTGGTAGCAGCCCTGTAGTGTATATTGAATTTATTGATAAATTGTAATAATTTGACATGTAAGATGATGCATACATCTAAAAAGGTTAAAAATAGGCCTTTGTGAAGGTAAATATGCAGATTTAAGTATGTAAAAGTAAGTTTAAGTATGTTATCGCTTACATCCCAAAATGCACTTATTGAAGTATGTACTGGAAAAAAGAAAGTGTTTCTCATGGGCTTTATTTTAGATTAGGGTGGGAAATTTCTGAGCAGATTAAAAACACAAACAAGATAACAGCACTGATGCAGTTATTTTGTGGGGATATTTTGTATGGAATATTGTCTGCTGACATGAAAAGGTCACTGTATATCATAGTAATAAATACCATTTATTACAGCATTGATATTTTGTTTTCTTTTTAATTTATACATTAAATATTACATATATGTATGTAATAAAATGTGTATTTCCATTACAGGTTTAGGTCTTAAATTTCATATAATGTGGTATTAAAAAGGTCTTAAAAAGTCTTAAATTTAACTTGTTCAAGTCTGCAGAAACCCTGTAATGGAAAAACTACATTACCTATGATTCTGTAAAGAAATCGCCACCAATGCACCTATATTTTTATATTTTTCCACTGTTTTTAATTCAAAAATTTAGTTTTCATTGCTTTATGGGTTTGTAGTTCTTTTCCTTGTTAAAGCCATAAAGTACACACTCTTGTATCTGTCTTTTTCCCTTCAAATCCAAGTTTATAATGTTATGTTTTGATTCATGGCTTATTATACTTTAATGAAACCTTTTTTAAAATCTCTATTGGAAAAATAAAAGTACAGTGTTTAATGGAAAAAGATACTCAAGAACCATTAACAAGCTAAAGAGCGTGAAGAGAATCGTTTGGTTCCAGTATTTCTTTTAAAAAAAGCACTTTGTTCCCAACCGTAGTGCATTTTGTTATCGCTTACATCCCAAAATGCACTTATTGAAGTATGTACTGGAAAAAAGAAAGTGTTTCTCATGGGCTTTATTTTAGATTAGGGTGGGAAATTTCTGAGCAGATTAAAAACACAAACAAGATAACAGCACCATCTCTCTAAAATGCATGCTTTCTCTCAGTATTTACTGGAAAAAGGACCTTTTTTTGCACGAGATGATATAGAAAATCAGCCATGCAAATTGCTTCCAGGCTGTATGTAAGAGCAAGCAAGCATATCCAAGTGAAGTGGACTCTACACCATGTCTTTAATTTGTAAATCTCTCGACATGCAGAGCACGACACAAATTATTCACTGTTGCTTGTGATTCTCTGTGACTTTGACCTGCTTTGCTCAAAATGAGGTGATTTATTTTTGCATGAATTATAAATAACACTTTGTCATCTTTATTTTTACCATCTGCACATCATGAAACCCCCACCATGATCAGGATTAGCTGTATTACTTGATTACTGTGTAATAATAACATAATTTGATTGTCCCCTACACCCCTTCCTGCTCTTATCTCGCTGTAGATCATTATCAGCTCTCGCCGACGGTGAACATGCCTCAGGATGACATGGTCATAATTGAAGATGACAGGCCACATGTTCTCCCCACCCAGCTGTCTGACCAATCGTCATCCAGTTCTCATGATGACATGGGCTTCGCTGTGGAGACGCCTCCGCCGCCACCCTGGGACCAAGAGCTTCCCGACAGGTAAATAAAAGTGGATAGTGTAGAAAGTTTTGTAATTTATTTAGTGAAGTATCTATTGTCTTTGTTTCTATTTCGAGCATCAACTCTCTGACTCTTCTGACGATCTTCCTGCTGTAATTGAGTCCATGGCCTTTCCTTTGTTTGTCAAAGGAGCGTCGGTTATTAGAACAGGGCCGAGGGCTGGACACTGTGCTGTGATTTAATCGGTCTCTCTTTCTCTCTCCTTCCCTCAGCACTTCCAGTGCTAATGGCGAGGAGGTGTTTCAGAGGGAAGGCTTTGGCAGGCAAAGCATGTCTGAGAAACGCACCAAGCAGTATGGAGACGCGAGCCAACTTGACATCATCAAGACCCGCAAGTCCAAGAGCATGGACCTAGGTACTCTAAAGATTAATCCTAAATGCAGTGCTTGGTATATGGGGGTAGAATCGTTGCATAATTCCAAATAAATACATTATGTTCCACAAATAAATGTAAAGAGATTAACAAAAATAAAATGTATTGATAAATAAATAGAATGTGATCCACAAATAAATCTTAGAGTTTCACAAGCAAGAATTAAATTCACACAAAAAATAAAATGAGATTTGCAAATAAAAAACATTCACAGATATATTTTTATGTCACAAACACATCTTTGCCTGGCATTCATTTGTGAATCGCGTCCTGTGCATTTGTAGATCGCTGCATGCATTTGTGGATAGCTCCCTGTGCTGCCTGGTCCCACACTGATTGTAAGGCAAAACGTGATTGGTTGGAGCGAGAACACGCTACGATTGGTTGGCGCCACGTGACCGGTATCTGATTGGCTTAAGTAGAAGGGGGGTGGAGTCCATCCATTTGTGGATTGGTTTGCCTCTTGACGCTTGAAATGTCTCAAAATCCACAAATAAGCGCAACGATTTACAAATGCATGCAGCGATCTACAAATGCACAGGACGCAATTCACAAATGAATGCCAGGCAAAGTTGTGTTTGTGACATAAAAATATATCTGTGAATATGTTTTTTATTTGCAAATCTCATTTTATTTTTTGTGTGAATTTAATTCTTGTTTGTGAAACTCTTAAGATTTATTTGTGGATCTCATTCTATTTATTTATCAATACATTTTATTTTTGTTAATCTCTTTACATTTATTTGTGGATCATAATGTATTTATTTGGAATTATGCAACGATTCTACCCCCATATTGGTCCTACATACTCTAAAGATCAACCCGAAACACAGTGCTTGGTCTTAAATACTTTAAACCTCGACCCAAAACACAGTAGTTAGACCTAGATACTCTAAAGGTCAGTCTTAAAAATGACCTTTAGTCACATTGAAAGAGCACAGTAAGCACAATAGTTAGAACTAGATACTCTAAAGGTCAGTCTTAAAGACAGTGATTGGACCTAGATGCTTTAAATGTCAGACCCAATCGCTGTGACTAGATCTATGATACACTAAGATACTGTCAAAATCTGTCCCAAACACTTGGAGTAAAAGATCAGCCCCAAACCTAAATTACTCTAAAGGTTGGTCTCAAAAACAGTAATTGGACCTAATTACTCTAAAGATCAACTCAAAGCACATTACTTAGTCTCAGATACACCAAAGGTCTGTCCCAAACACAGTTCTTGGACTTCAATACTGTAAAGGTCTATCTCAAAAACAGTAATTGGAATAGGTCAGTCTTAAAAACACATAATTAGACTTAATTACTCTGAAGATCAACTCGAAGCACATTATTTAGACCTAGATACTCTAAAGGTCTCTCCCAAAAACTGTACTTGGACATAAATACTCGAAAGCTCCATCTCAAACACAGTAATTGGACCTAAATACTCTATAAAGATCAGTCCCACACACAGTGCTTGGGCCTAGATACTCTAAAGGCCAGTCCCAGTACATAAATTCCCACCCCGAAATCTAATCCATTGCTCAAGTTACTTTCCTCTCTTTATAAGAGCACTTCTCAGAATGCCTCTCATTCTGGGCATCACCATTCACCACTCCACCGTCACTAAGTCTGCACTGGTCTCCCTTGTGCATGTGCTTTCTAATCTGAACACTCATCCAATTCTGCTGGATGTTCCTCACTTACCGCTTTACCACTGAAATGGAGCTGGTGCCAGTGTGCAGACAAGGCATCCTGATTCCTGCAGAACCTTCCACTGACTCCAGAACCAAACGACAACGTGTTTGTTTTATTTGGAGTTTTTCCACATTTACATTTATTTTGCACAATTTCTGACATTAGTGATTTCCCGATTTTGAGATCAGCACGTTAAAAGGGATGAAGTATGAATTACATTATTCCCACCTTTTCTTTGGAGGGAAACGTGTGGAATGAGGTCAGTTTGGGCACCGGCACGGTCTCAGTGGAAAAGTGATAACTCTGAATCAGTAGAATCACTGTGGAAACGCACCATTTTGTTAATGAGCACTGACTGATTGGTTCTGTCGTCTGATTTGTTGATGGTGATACTTGCCTGGTTGCTTGCTGCATGTTGAATGGTCAAACTAACCGTCCTGTCGATGTATGTGTGTGTGCCCCTCACACAGTGGCTGATGAGATTAACCTCACACACTACACAGAAAACCACCCAGGTAAGCATGACCACTCCTGCACTTCTATTCCTGCACACACACTCACTTCTCTTCCACACTGAAGGATTATTAAATCCTTGCCTGTTTTTCTTCAGTGCTGAGATGATTTTTTTCCTGCTGTTTCATCACTGATTACTTTCCTAGTCCCGTTTGTCACCACTCTCATAACAAGAACAGCTTAAAAACAGGTTACAGCATTCATACTCTGCAATTTAGCAGTGAAATGATCCAGAAATCACTAAAATACACAATTGATATGTTAATCAATTTTAATATTTTTGAAAAGTCTATTATGCTCATATAGAGCCAGCATTAATTTGATTAAAAAAACAGTAAAGTGGGAATATCGTGGAATGTTATTACAATTTAAAATAGCTTTATCTTATTTGAATATATTTTAAAATTTATTTTTTTCTGTGGTGGCAAAGCTGAATTTTCAGCAAATATTACTCCAGTCTTTAGTGTCACATGATCCTTCAGAAATCATTCTAATATGCTTGAAAATCATTCTAATGGTGCTTAAGAATTTTCTTATTACTATCAATTAATTTCTTATTTTTATCAATATTGAAAACAGTTGTGCTGCTTAATATGTTTGCTTTCAGAATTCTTTGATGAATAGAAAGTTCAAAAGAACCACATTTTATTTGAAATAGAAACTTTTGTAACATTATAAATGTTTTTTTTCTCACTGACCGCTTTTATTTTCGTTTTTACATATATTTTCTTTACATATATTATTGTATTTTTGTATATTATTGCCAGCAGTTGTAGTGGTGTTGTAAAGCTTTTTGTTCTGAAAATCTTATTCAATTTAATCAATTTTATTGTAATATTGCAGTATTACAAACCACAATTGATATGTTAATCAATTTTAATATTTTTGAAAAGTCTATTATGCTCATATAGAGCCAGCATTAATTTGATTAAAAAAACAGTAAAGTGGGAATATCGTGGAATGTTATTACAATTTAAAATAGCTTTATCTTATTTGAATATATTTTAAAATTTATTTTTTTCTGTGGTGGCAAAGCTGAATTTTCAGCAAATATTACTCCAGTCTTTAGTGTCACATGATCCTTCAGAAATCATTCTAATATGCTTGAAAATCATTCTAATGGTGCTTAAGAATTTTCTTATTACTATCAATTAATTTCTTATTTTTATCAATATTGAAAACAGTTGTGCTGCTTAATATGTTTGCTTTCAGAATTCTTTGATGAATAGAAAGTTCAAAAGAACCACATTTTATTTGAAATAGAAACTTTTGTAACATTATAAATGTTTTTTTTTCTCACTGACCGCTTTTATTTTCGTTTTTACATATATTTTCTTTACATATATTATTGTATTTTTGTATATTATTGCCAGCAGTTGTAGTGGTGTTGTAAAGCTTTTTGTTCTGAAAATCTTATTAAATTTAATCAATTTTATTGTAATATTGCAGTATTACAAATGCATAACTGTATTATATTTAAAAATAGCAGGGGCGGTCTGACACGCTTCAATAAGGCAGCGCTGCGTGATGAAGATAAATTCACACAATCTTTTCTGGCCACCACTTGCATTCATTTATCTTCATCACTTAATACAGAAACACATCTTCATGGCTGACTACAAACGATAGCAGCTCATGCGCACACACACACACACACACACACACACTCCACATAACGTTCAGATAAATATAGCTGCTTTTATCAGGGTTACGGTTGAGATTTGTGGCAGACAGACTGCATGCATGACTAGTTGATTGTGCTTTGTGGTTTAACTAGCGAACTGTTCCTCAGGCTCTTCCTCACATGATGTTGGCCCGTCTCTCGGCCTAAAGAAGTCCAGCTCTCTGGAAAGTTTACAGACTGCCGTCGCTGAGGTGACGCTCAACGGTGACATGCCTTTTCACCGGCCACGGCCACGCATCATACGGGGGCGGGGCTGCAACGAGAGCTTCCGAGCCGCGATTGACAAATCGTACGACAGGCCAACAGCCATTGAGGATGAAGAGGAGTGCATGAATACATGTAGGGCTGCTCCTGATTGGTTTAATCAGCGAATGCACTAAAATTTGGCAAATGTTGAGATAACGGCTGTGAATTTGATTAGCTGGTTTAACTTTTGTTGATTATGACTGATAATAACAGCTTTCCTTTCTTTTTTTTCTGTAGTGGAGGAGGACACTGAAGGAAGCTCTCGATCGGGGCGGGATTCGGTTTCCACGGTAGCTGATCTCACTCCGCTTCCCGTCACCGAGCAACAGCTGATCAATGGCAACCAGCCTCAAAACGAGAAGAAGAAAGAAAAAGGGGGAAAGGACAAAAAGAAGCCAGAGAAAGAGAAGGGTAAAACAAAGAAAGGAATGCTCAAGGGTCTTGGAGAGATGTTCAGGTAATTAAAAGCAGATCTGAACAGCTTTTTGTGTCAGATAAAAGCGACTAAGAATAATGATGATAAGAGCGCAGATGAGCCCAGAGCACTTTTTCTTCATGTCCTTAATTACCTCAAAACCCAACAATAGAATAAAAAGCCTAGTGAGCTGCCCACCGACGCATCATTGTTGGTTCCCGTCTCAAAGACTCTGCCAACAATAGGCAGAGCAGCAAAATTGGTGAAAGATGTGAGTGAAGAAAATGAGTGGTGTTTGGACAGGCAAACCTTACCAGCACATTACTAAGGTGGCAGGTTGCAGTGCTATTGCAAAGGTGTTCTGGGTGGTTTCTGGTGTGTTGTTAGGTGGTTGCTAGGGTGTTCAAAATAACACATCACAGAGTTTCTTTGTTATTCTCTTTTCTAGATATGACCTGAAGTTGCCTTAGCAAGCTTCACGCTGCCTCATGAATTAAGAAGGCTTTGTTTTAGCCAAAACTTTAGATGTCCTTGACGGTTATATTTCCAGAATGCATGAAATAAAAAAATTATTGTAAATATTAAAGGGGTGGTTGATTGCGATTTCACTTTTTTAACGTTAGTGTGTAATGTTGCTGTTTGAGCATAAACAATATCTGTAAAGTTACGACACTGAAAGTTCAATGCAAACGGAGATATTGTCTTTTAAAATTATGGCAGTTTAATGCCTACAAAATAACTCGTAGGGACTACAACGAGTTACTTCCCGGGTTTGTGACGTCACAAACCCTGATAAACCCCACCCCCGGGAACATGCAACAAAGGGGGCGAGGGCATCTGCTTTAGAGAAGAGGAAGAGTAGTTGCCTCTCTCTCTCTCTCTCTCTCTCTCTCTCTCTCTTTCTCTCATTCAGATCATCAGCTCCATCAGTGAACTGTTCCAATTATACATTTTATGTGTATAGACTTACAGATATTTTTCACATAGCTATGAGAAATGTTAAACATGGACATGCATGCGGTTGCCGTACTGTATTAATGCTTTAATCAGGATGAAACCGTATATTAAAAGCTAACATAAGCAGTAGCATTTTCAAATAACAACGTATCTAAACATATGAGACAACAACAAACAAAAAACATACCATTAAGTTGCACAGGTTCTGCGTGATCCTCTTCACTAATATTCTCTGCGCCTCATTCGGGCTCAAATTGATAAGCAATATTGACGACGCCATTGTTTACAATACAACTGGAGCACATGCACTGAGCGCGCTCTGGCGGTTTAGCGAATCACAACACGCTTGGCTAGCTAACCAATCTGAGCCCATCGCGTATTTCTGAGGGAGGGGCTTCATAAAAGCAGGAAATCATCAGTGCGTTTATTTGAGAAGGAACAGAGCGGTGTAGAATAAAGGTAAATTATGTGAAATTTACTAAACTAACTAAAAATTTGTCAACCACCCCTTTAATTACTGAAGTGTTGATAGAAAAGATCTAAATGAAAATGTGAATTTTCTGTGCTTACATCATATAATAGCTAGACACAATATGATTAAAATTTGAATAAACGTTGCTAATTAAGCTTTTTAACATTTAAAAGTTTGGCGCCAGTAATATTTTCAAAAAAATTAATATCAGAACTCATAGGCATACAAAGGTATTGAAACTCCTTTCAGCTTTCTCGCACACACTTCAGTCCTCGCACATGTCAGCGGAATATTAATGAATCGATATGCTTGATAAAACAAAGATTTGCAGAGAAGAGAAGACTTTTCGCGCTCTCTGCTTTGCCGAGTTGCAAAACAGTGATTAGTTTGTTAAATGAATTAGAATAGATGGATTAAGAGCTTTAACAGTGGTTTAATTAGAGCAGACAGGTTTAAGGTTTTTTTTCAGAAGCATAATGTAATGAAAATAAATTTATTAAAATAAATAAATAATGTCCATTACAATTGAAGGGAAACATGACTAGTGTTTTGAATCAATAAGCTTTTAAATGCAACTTCCAAAAAAAGTATTTCTATTTTTTATAATTAAAATAAACTGTTATTGGGCTTTTGAACGGTTAATTGAGAAGAATGTGACATCAACTTGTGACATGTGTTTGTGTGTGTTAAAGGTTCGGGAAATACCGAAAGGACGAGCGACTGGATGGTCCGAAGTGCAAGGCAGAGGAAACTCATGCATCGGAGGAAGAGACATGCAGAATGAGACAAGAACAAGAGAGGTACACACACAGAGTCAGAGCTAATCTTAACTATCATCAGCCTCTAATCAGAGGCATTTCCTGTCACTTTACGTGCCAGCCGTACCCACTTCCTCTAACCTTCTTCCTCGGTGATTGTTTCTGTCCTGTTGTTTGTGTCATCATTGTGTTTTGTTAAAGCATTATGATGCTTTTATATTTTGTGTGTGTTTGCATACTAATGCTTTAGCTAAGCCTAATATGTTTTAGTTGTTTTAAGTTCATTGTGTGAATGTTCACCTGCAGGTGTGTGTATGTTCATGTTGTTTTATTAATAATGCCATGTGAACCCCCTCCCGTTTTCCCTTCTGTCCTGTGAGACCATGCTGAGAAATCCCCACTCTTTCAATCTTTTTCTTAATCTCTCTCTCTCGTACACACTCATTTATCATCTTGCTTTTGATGGGGCTTAGAAAGGTGTTTCAGTATGTTTTTAGTACCTATGAAGAAACTACTGATTTCAGGTTTAAAGGGATAGTTCACAAAAAAAAAAACTAAATTTTGGCATTGTTTACTAATCTTCATGACTTGCTTCTGTGGAACACAAAAAAATATTTTTTTGTCTATACAATGAAAGTTAATGGGGTCTAAGCAACATTAGGCATTAGGTCTTTGTGTTTCTGTTGCAGTTTTTATATATATATACAGTGGGGAAAAAAAGTATTTAGTCAGCCACCAATTGTGCAAGTTCTCCCACTTAAAAAGATGAGAGAGGCCTGTAATTGTTAAAGCATTATGATGCTTTTATATTTTGTGTGTGTTTGCATACTAATGCTTTAGCTAAGCCTAATATGTTTTAGTTGTTTTAAGTTCATTGTGTGAATGTTCACCTGCAGGTGTGTGTATGTTCATGTTGTTTTATTAATAATGCCATGTGAACCCCCTCCCGTTTTCCCTTCTGTCCTGTGAGACCATGCTGAGAAATCCCCACTCTTTCAATCTTTTTCTTAATCTCTCTCTCTCGTACACACTCATTTATCATCTTGATTTTGATGGGGCTTAGAAAGGTGTTTCAGTATGTTTTTAGTACCTATGAAGAAACTACTGATTTCAGGTTTAAAGGGATAGTTAACAAAAAAAAACTAAATTTTGGCATTGTTTACTAATCTTCATGACTTGCTTCTGTGGAACACAAAAAATATTTTTTTGTCTATACAATGAAAGTTAATGGGGTCTAAGCAACATTAGGCATTAGGTCTTTGTGTTTCTGTTGCAGTTTTTATATATATATACAGTGGGGAAAAAAAGTATTTAGTCAGCCACCAATTGTGCAAGTTCTCCCACTTAAAAAGATGAGAGAGGCCTGTAATTTTCATCATAGGTATACCTCAACTATGAGAGACAAAATGAGAAAAAAAAATCCAGAAAATCACATTGTAGGATTTTTAAAGAATTTATTTGCAAATTAAGGTGGAAAATAAGTATTTGGTCAATAACAAAATTTCATCTCAATACTTTGTTATATACACTTTGTTGGCAATGACAGAGGTCAAACATTTTCTGTAAGTCTTCACAAGGTTTTCACTATATATATATATATATATACACACACACACACACATTCTGTATATGTATATATACATTTCGTCATTTAGCAGGCACTTTTATCCAAATATTTATGTGCATATACATAATAATTTTCTACATCATGTATGTAATATACATATATGGATGTTTATATATTAATGTTTTGGATTATTTACATTGTATGTATTTTTGCATGCAGTGTTGCCAAAACATCATTATACAACAAAAAGTAACTAAATAAATAAGATGCTAGAAATGCTAATAAAACAATGTAATATTAACTATATTTATATATTAATGTGTTTATTTTTGTATATATTATTGCATACATTGTTGCCAAAGCATCAATAAAAAAATGCCAGAAATGCTAATAAAATAATTAATTAGATTTTAAAGGTGGGGTAAGTGATTTTTCAAAAACGCTTTAGAAAACTGATTCGGGCTGGCTAGCAAAACAAACTTGTAGCCAATCAGCAGTAAGGGGCGTGTCTACTCATGATGTGGAGGAGAGAGCGTTCAGTGCACAGGACGGACATTAGCCGAGCCGAGCGACAGAAAGATAGAGATGGCGGATAAAAAAACAAAAGAGGAAAACGTCTGCGGAACAAAAGAAGGCTTAAGGCAAGAAGTAGGACCCGTGTAAATATCGGATCAGCTTTCCAGCGCTGGAGAAAACTCAAGGAGCGGAAGGCTTGCGATCGGACACCGAGGTTTCTTTGTTTCTTCTCGATAGGTGAGTAACACCGTGTCTGCGCTACAACAGCTAAAGTCTGTCTAGTACACTGGACGCGACAAAGCGATTGTTGAAAATCATTTGAAATTTGTGTCAATACGTCATGAATAGAACGCAGCAGCAGTTTTCTGTCGGGGATTTGTCGTGTCGTGCCGCGCCGCATCCAGTGTAGACCATAGATATGTATGTGTATATATATATATATATATATATATATTTATATGGTGTAGACCGCATCACTGATTATAATGAGTTCTATAGTTTTTTGTTGTGCCTCTCGCGTTCGGTGTAGACACGGTGTGACATTGGTTTTTCTTTGTTTCACAGAACTAATCGTTGCCTGGGTTGTGTACGTATATGTGGGGCGGAGCTATCAAAATAGGGGCGAGACCCTTTTGGGGTAGGGGCGTGTTTGTTTTGGTGATTTCAAATGTCAACATTGGCTACCAGAAATCGCTTACCCCACCTTTAATAGCATTAACATTATAACAACCAGGTATTTAGGTTAGTACCAAATTAAACTAAATTGAACATCATGCATTTATACTGGAATAAATAATGTTTTCCTTGCCAGATCAAGACATTTCTTCTTTTTTAGGGTTTTGTTCATCCTGATCTGTCCATTATTACTTGTTTTCCGGTTGTTTTTATTCATTTTTCAGTTTATTTTTTTTCTTTTTAATGTGTGCGTATTTTGTCATTCCTTTTTCAATGTATGGCTATGTAGGATCCAGGCTAAAATGCTAGAGATTCGTCAGCGTCAGGCCAGAGAGCGATACTATGCGGAGATCCAAGACTTCAGCCGGTCCACCCTGACCTCACTTCATCCTGAAGAGCCCCCATATGCCGGCATCGGCTCTCTGGAACACGGCGGGTACCATCGGATCCACACGCCTCCAGACTCACCGTACACAGACAAACAGAACGCCCGCAACGGACACCCCTCTACATCAGACAGGTATTTACTGTAACAACATTGTCATTTTTAAATATCATAGTCCTTCCACTTCCTGAGCTATCAATGAGTTAACCTGCGATTCTGAAGTCAAGATACTGTTCTAAACGCTCTCCTTGTGTTGTGTGAAGTGTTGAAAGCATTCTCGAGGGCTTTCATAAAACCTGATTTGTGAGAATGTTTTGTTTGGGTTGTGTCAGAGTTGCATGTTTTCTTGAGACTGAAACAAATACAGGCAGAGAGAGACAGGAAGGCCACTTCCTGTAAGAACCCTCAGGGAACAGGAAATGGGTGTCATTCCAGTGAGATGCAGAGAATGGAACTGTGGGAATTATCCTCACAAATCTGCATGGGAAGTGGATCTTAAAGGGGGCACAATGTGTGGGTGGGTGTGTTTTTATGGGCTTCAGAAGGAAACATTGTGTAGGATTGTGTGTGTGATGCGTTATACAAACAGTATAACATATATAGTGATCTTATAGCTTCCTGTTTTCTGAGTTTCAGCCAATCAGCTTTATTGCAAGCTGTCAGCTCATTTAAGTTGAGACCATGTAGCTAAAACAGCTGTGGACATCGGAAAAGCCCCTTTCCGATGCCTGGCATGATGTTTTAAGATATTGAGACTGATTGAAGCTGTTATTTTATGCCATGATGATGACATTGACATCAACAGGAAGTCATTCTTTAGTCTCTTTAAAACGGCAGGAAAATAAATAACAGTATCTTTACTTTTAAGGAGCAAATCCTTTTCAACTATGACAAATGTGTACAGTGTCTTTACCATTTCCTTTAATATTAATCTTTTAATAATTCTTTAATCAATCACCTTAATTAGAGAGAATATTCTCACAGTTAAGTGTGGTATTTAAAGTTGTGTTGTGGAACAGAGTGTAATGTTTCTTGTTTCTCATTCAGATGTAGTTTTTTGTATCAGCATAATGCACACTTTTAGCATTTTTGACACATTCATAAAACTTTTCTACTTTCCCGTAAGGTCATTTTAAGAGGGTTTTTTAACATTTTCATTTGGCCCTAAGTTGTGTTGTGGAACAGAGTGTAATGTTTCTTGTTTCTCATTCAGATGTAGTTTTTTGTATCAGCATAATGCACACTTTTAGCATTTTTGACACATTCATAAAACTTTTCTACTTTCCCGTAAGGTCATTTTAAGAGGGTTTTTTTAACATTTTCATTTGGCCCACTAAAGTGGACCGACCAAGTCCTTTTTCTTGCATAAACGTGTATTGTGTAAACACTTGAAATGCACAGCTGGGTCCAGAACATGAGCAATCTAGAGGCATCGGTTAGTCTCTGAACCCTGTGAAATCAGTTGTGAAAGAGGTTATAGTGGAAATCTAACAATAATAGAATCATTTTTACAATGTCACTGCTTTAGCCAGGCACACAAACACACATATATGCACACACACACACACACACACAGTATCTGACCTAGAAATCAGAGTGTTGTAACATTCTGGCTATCAGCTGCAGTATGGTTTAAGTCCCTCAGTGCAGAACGTTTAAGTAAATGAGAAATATATCTGTTCAGTCAGCAGAACTTCTTTTTGAAAGCTGATAAAAGGCTTATACATGCACAAACCCAGTTCAAGTCCAGCTGAGGTGTTATGATGATACTAAGATGCGAAGTAAGGAGTCTTGGGAGAGATGTTTGTGCATAGTGAAGTTTTCTCTCTCTTTATGTGTGTGTATATATAATTTGAATGTCTGTGTATATTGAAGTTTTTGCACTAATGTCTGATGTTTATTTTTTTTATGATTTACTTACCTATTTTTAATGCATGCATAATAACTGTGTGTATGTGTATGTATAACCTCATTTTATATATATATATATATATATATATATATATATATATATATATATATAGTGCCACAAAAGAGTGT